TGAGATTTCTTACTCTATAATTTGATTACTGCAATGAGAATTGCGTGCATCTCTTGAGCAGTTACAGATTAAGCTGTGAAGTAGTTTAGTACAATTAATCTTCCTGTTGCTTGAATACACTTGCATCTTCTGATAGAAATTTGGCATGCCTGTTGTTAATAAATTGAGGATAATACTGAGCAGGTAGGCTGTGGCTGAGGAGGATGTCAGAAGTGAGCTTTTCAGAGTGCAGTTCCTTTCACCATTCCCATGTGAAAGCGTTGGCATGCTGGTCACACGTTAACACTCGTGTTGTTCTTCTGTATTTTCACAGCCCAATTATGGAAGCTTTTGGCAATGCGAAGACTGTTTACAACAACAACTCCAGTCGTTTTGGGAAGTTTATTCAGCTGAACATCTGTCAGAAAGGAAACATTCAGGGAGGAAGAATTATAGATTGTATCCTTGTTTGGTGATTTCCCCCCCGCCCCATTTGTGGGCAGCCCCCATGTACCTCCTCCGTGAGGGCTGGAAGAAAAGTGGGGCTTACCCTTGTCTGTTCTTTTGCCCCATCCTAAAACATACACAATTACATTGATCTGATGTAGGTAGGAACAGAAAGCAGTAACACCAAATTCTGCATGTGTTTGTGCACACGCACACATGCATTTGTGGCGGGGTGGGGTGTATATACTCTTGGAGGACCAAGATTTTGTATTGCTGCTCCTAGCGTGACTTGTGTATGTTCCTGTGTAGTGAGCTAAAATATCCTGAGTTCTTGGGGATAACTTCAGTTGTCAGCTATTTCCCTCGTTTCTTATATCTGAAGATAAGCTTCTTACTTTTCTGGAAAAGAGAGAGCAGAGCTGCTGAATTTCTGAAACATGAGCATCGGTGGGTCAAATCCTTGGAATTGTCCTGCGTTTGACAAAATTGGACTATGAGCCAGCTTCACCAAAGCACCAGAGGTGTGGGGATGAGGAATGTACTGAGGGGATGCTACCTAGTGTTTTGAACATAAGCAACTTTTGCAGTGGGACAAATTTCATCCTTAAAGCTGTTTCCAAGCTTTAGGGAAAAGGAAAAGTAAAGGAAAGCAGATGTCATGTAAAATCCAAAACATGACAAGTCCAGTTTTGATGGCATGGAGAAGGAGGTGTGGAAACACATTGGTATTAGAACTGCTGCAATATTATCATTGTTGCTACTTTATTCTCCTTGTTATGGCAGCAGGCATGCCATAACAAAAGACAAAAACGCTCTTCCTATTGTCTCAAATGATCAAGAAATATTATAAATAGCTTGTGCATGAATTCCTTTTTACATTATTCCTTGACTGAAGTTTTTGTTCCTGGCTGTAGATTTATTGGAAAAAGTAAGTTGATCTTTGGTTTTGCTCAGTTAATTTTTGCTTAATTTTAATATTTTCTTTGAAATTGTGGATAAAGAAAAAAAATCTCCTTAAAAACGATTGCTTAAATGGCAACTGCTTTTTTATTTTGACAGAATCGTGTAGTAAGACAAAACCCTGGGGAAAGAAATTATCATATATTCTATGCTCTGCTGGCAGGGATAGAAGAGAGAGAGAAAGGTGAGTGGCGAAGCGCAAGTCACACAATCGTAGTGGCTCTCTGCTAGCAGTCAGCCGTGGTGACAGCAGTGGAGAATTTAACTGCAGAAACCCACTAACCCCAGCAGAGAAACAGGTTATTTGTTCAGCTGGGATTTAGTGAGTGTGAATTTGAGCCCAACTTGATAGAGCAACCTGCTTAGTTGAAGAATGTCACTGAGCTGCCAATAATTTTTCTCCCAGCTTCTGCTGTGTCCCTGGGAAAATTACCTGGGGACAAACATGCCTCATTCTGTTCAAGCTGAATATTTTTGCTGATACTAAATAACTCCACAGCAACAAAGAGGAATAATTCTGGTTCCTCTAATCCTCTCTCATAAAGAATAAATCCACTGAACAAAAGAAATGACATTTGTATATGTGCAAAATTGCCTAAAGCGGTCTCTGCATCTCCCCTTGGGCCTGCTGTCTTTGCATGCTTAAAAAGTAGTTAACTCCATTGTGCAGCTAAATAAAGCAAAAACCAGCAAAATAAAACCCCATATCTGATTCTAATATAAAACTTTGTCTTGTGCATCATCGTAATTTCTGAGCAAATGAATTGTGAACTGTTTGACGTAGTAATTTGTGGAGTGCTTTTGTTTTGGGGATATTTTTTATTTTTTCATTTGTCCTCTTTTCTCTCCTTGTTAGATGCTTTTTACTTATCTGTACCGGAGAACTACCACTACCTGAATCAGTCTGGATGTATAGCGGATAAGACAATCAGTGACAAAGATTCTTTCAAGGAAGTCATTGTGAGTTGTTTCCCTATTTTTCTATGCTTTTAGAAATACTGGAGGTGCAGGTGCCTGGGGCCCACTGACAGAGCAAGAGACAAAGCCTTCTTGTGCGTACCTGCACACACAGCGCTCTCGTTAAGGCACTAATCTTACAGCGACTTATGTTTTCTCATAAACTTCACTGTCATTTTAAGCAAGTCTTTACCTTTCCTCTAGTATTTGATTTTTTACTGTCATTTCATAGTGTGCTATAGTTTAGTGAAATGATTACGTTTCGGAATGAAAAGAATACCAGTTAGGAAGACAGTAAGGCATTTACATGCCTTTGCCCTTCCCTCCATTGTTTTATATTGCAGGTGTGTCAGCTTCCACTGTTTTTCCATCCTAAAGCTTTGCCCAGATCGTGTGGCATCTACAGGGTTGAGTCTGCAGCACAACATGTGGGGAGTGAAGCACCTGAGCATCTGGCTCTTTAAGTTGCAGCTGGGAATTCCAGTTGTATGGAGTAACTTACACAATAGAGTTGAAGAAAATTTAAATGCCGATTGAAAATTAGGTCCTGATGGAGTCTTTCTCTGAATGGCTTTATGTCTTATACCCACGCCAATTAGCTACAGCAATTAGTCTGTACTGACTGTTAGGATAATTACTAATTGCTTACTATATCACTGAGTCGGTAATGTGTTACGTTTTAAAAATCAGTAAAAATAATGTTTTTTATGCCCTTCACCACACTATTTTTGCTTAGCTATGTTAATCTCTTTGACGAGAGATTGAGAGAATCTCTGAATTGACAAATTAACGTGTGGTGGACACAGCAGTTACTTTTTGCGTAAAACATCCTCATCTAGTATGGTGGGGATGGGAGAGGTGTTGGAAAAGGCGGTGGCTTACCTACATTATAGCCACATGGCTTAAGCTGATTAGCGTGATGTTTAATTTGTGCTCATCATCCCAGGGTGGGCAGAGCGTGAAATCAGCTGGGCAGGTGATGCTCGCGTGCTGCCTGCCGTGCGGGCAGGCTTGGAGCAGGGGCTGAGGCTGCCAGGCTGCCTTCCCAGAGCAGGAGGCAGACAGAAACCCCACAGTTCACCCTCGCCTGTCTGTTCCTATTATAGTCATTCCCTTTGCCTATTTTTAGTGTGTTTTAACTTCTGGAAATGTTACTTAAGTAAAACTTTTTTGTAGAAGATGGGGAGGGACTGCACAGTGAGCGTGGAGATGAACTCCTAGTGCTGCCACCATCGTTAGAGCTCTGTTGTGAAAGGTCTTCTATACAAAATAAACCTTCAACCATTATGTGCTCTCTGCTTTTAATTGTGGAATGAGACTGAGGCTTTTCCATTTGTAACTGATGATTTATGAAAGATAAATTGTGTCACGTGTCATCTGTCAGACACCTGCAGTGACTGTGACGTGATGAGTTTTAACTGTAAGGGTATAAAACTGATCTGGTTTCAGACAGACCCATATTAGACTCAAATTTGGGAAATTCCGTTAATTTCGAGAGGCGTACAATTGCTTACTCCTCTCTGTCAGAGTCAGAGAAAAGCAAATGTTCATCCTCTTGTTTTAGTATTTCTTTAAACAGAGATTTGCTGTTCTCTTCATTTGCATAGTTGAGCCTTGATCATCACCGTGTTGGTTATTTATGAATTCAACACGTTTTGTATAGATCTCTCTTTCTTGCTCAGTTTTGTTGTCAGGTGTCAGACCAGGCTGGTAAGATGTGTGTTTGGGCTTCATGGCTTGCCCAGGATATGCTGCAGAAGGGCTCCTCTGAATTCTTCTTGGCTGAGAAAACAAATGAGCAAATCTTACATGTTGCTGTGTTTCCTCCCCCATGCCTTGTTAGCTACAAGGCTAATTGGCAAAATTTGGTAAAAACACAGTGGAAGTTGTCAGTTACTAATGCAAATTAATGAAATTGCATCTGATGCACGACTCAGTAGGGCATTCCAATATTTATACAATTTTAATGAAGAACTTGAAAGCAAATTACAGCATCCTTATAGCATCAAAAGGAGATTTCATAAAACCAGAGTGATACGTGCATGTTCCAAGATGTCCCCATCATGTCTTACAGTGTATTCGATCTGGGATGAAACCAAACGAATTAACTCCTGCCAGCCCTCTGTCAGTCCTCACTTGCTTTTCTAAGGCCTGACAACACAGTTGGTGGGTTTGTCCTTGTCCCCATTTTTGAGTCAGTGTGCATGTTACTGAAGAAGCTCACGTGTCATTCCAGACTGCAATGGAAGTGATGCAATTCAGCAAGGAGGAGGTGCGAGAGGTTTTGAGGCTTTTGGCTGGCATTCTGCATCTAGGAAACGTTGAGTTCATCACTGCTGGTGGGGCACAGGTGTCCTTTAAAACAGGTGAGAAGGCTGTACATCCAGATGAAAATGTTTCTTGAGGTTGTGAGAGCTATATTCATTGCTAGTATATCTGGCCATAGCAAGGACAAACAGTGAAAGGGTTTTACTGCTTTTTAGCAACTGTAAATGTTGATCAAAATGTTGTTGTGTTTTTTGGTTTTTTTTTTTGACAGAAAAGGCAAATCAGTCTGCTGCTGGATGCTAGATCTTAACTGGGGAAGACCTTGGGCACATATTTATTCCATTAATAGTAGACAAATTATATTTTAATCCCATTCCTTCTTTGAAATATTCTTAAGTTGATAAAATGTAAGTGCTTAAGTACATTTCTTAACTGAGATCTCCACTGAAGGTATCTTTTGTAGAGTTTTTGATACCTCAAGTACAAATCTGAAAGTATGTATTGGTATGTCTAAAAATGGGGCTAGTGAGCATCTCAAATGTTCAAGTATGGCAATAAAGAGTAGCATTGCATACTGCTTTATATGCCACATTACAGCTAAATTGCAAATTAAAGTATGCCTGTAAGAAAAAAAAATAATTGGTTTTCTTTATCATCTTCAGCAAAGCTGAAACGCGTTCATGTGGACAAAGAGTGAATTACCGTTTGTGTCTGGAAAAATATGTTAGTGTAAGCAGTAGGTTATTTGAATCCTTGACATGTAACATTAAGAGGAAAATAAATATTTGTGGCTTACTTGTGATGGATTTCTACTGCTGAATTCCTTCAGTCGTGCATATTTATGATACTGTGCCTTCTCATGAGCGGCAAAAAAATATCCTAGAGTTTCTGGTTGTGTTTTTATCTGTAATCCCCATCATTTTAGAAAGCATCTTAAATGGTGGTGGTAGCAATAATAATAATACTACAACAAATTAGTTTCATAACTTTATACATTTAAGGACATATTTGTGTTTGTCTCTTTCTTTTGCCAGCTCTGGGTAGATCTGCTGAACTACTGGGGTTGGACTCCACGCAGCTAACTGAAGCATTGACACAGAGGTCAATGATACTCAGGGGAGAAGAAATCCTAACACCTCTTAGCATACAACAGGTAAAGGCATCTCAGTTTTGACATGGTTTTAGGGTCTGTTAAATATATATTGCTTGGTCTTCAAGTCCAGGGAAATCATTGGTCACTCAAGAACAGAAGCTTAGCTCGTGCATCAGAGTTGCTGACAAAAGTACTACGTAGTTTTTTTGGATCGGGTATAATTGGACTTTTAGAAATCTGTATAGATCCCGTTCTATCATTCTGGCCAGGGCTTGTAGCTTGGCTCTTGTTATTCTTATTAAGCCTGATTGCTCACCATGTTTTTCAAATTCTAATCATATATACTGATATTTTTCATTATGGATATTTGTGTCAGGTGGGTGTTTCTGAAAACTTTCAGCAGAAATAGTTTTTTAAAAGAAGGGGATTAGAAACAGATATACATAACATTACGCTTACCTCTAGAAAGGGATAAATTAAGATGTTATTTCCTCCCCTTCTGTTTTCTTCCTCCATGCCTTAAGTTTATAATTTCCTCATTTTTGAGTGCGTTAGCCTTGAAATGTATTTTTAATGCCGCATAGGTGTACAGCTGTTATAACCCACGCTGTTAAAGCTTAAGTTGTGACACTCTGTTAACACAACTGCCGTCAAGGTACACAGGCGTACAGACCTGCTTGCATTGTATGTTGCTTTATGCTGTGCAAAGACTGTCGGGGGTTAGGCTGCTCCGGCAACCAAACCCTACACAGTCGCTCACTCCCCCTCCCCCAGCCCCAGGGATGAGGGAGAGAATTAAAGGAGAAACGGGAAACCCGTGGGTTGAGATAAGAACAATTTAATACAGATGATTTAATACACAGTGTAGGTGCTCACCACCCCCTCGTATGCGAAGCCCGTCTCGTCCCGAAGCTGCAATCCCGGTTGAATGCGAGGCCCCGAAATAGAGAGGGGCAGAGAGGGAGAGAGAGAGAGTACTCCGAGAGTGGGAGTGCTGGGAGAGAGAGGGGGAAAAAAGGCAATAGAGCAAAGGCGCAGAAAAAGCCCTTCTGTCCGGCTGTCCCTCACTTTTATACTGGGCATGACGCTGCATGATATGGAATACTAATTGGCCAGTTTGGCCCTCAATCTTAAGTTCCACCACAAATCACAAGGGGAATCGTGTCCCCCTAGTCCCGGCTGTGCTCCCCCCTTATCCCACCATGTTTCTGCGCTCCGGCCAGAACACGGCACACCGAAAAGTCCTTGGAGTCTCACTTCCAACCACAAACATCAGCTTGCTATCAACATTCTTCTCAGAGTGAGCCTCTGAGTAAAACCAAAACACGGAGCTCTTCTAGCTGCTAAAAAGAAGAGCTGACTCTGTCCCAGCTAAAACCAGGACCGACGCTGACCAGCGAAGTCTGCTCTGAAGTTCTCAGTTACAGGAGCGATTGATAACGTTTGTGTATTCCTTCTTTAATGCAGGCAATAGACAGCAGAGATTCTATGGCTATGGCACTTTATTCTCAGTGTTTTGCTTGGGTCATTAAGAAAATCAACAGCAGAATCAGGAGCAAGGAAGACTTCAAGTCCATTGGGATTTTGGACATATTTGGATTTGAAAACTTTGAAGTAAGTTTCCAAAGTTTGTTCAAATTGATTGTCTGATTATTTATGCTTTGTTGTTCTACAGATCTTTGTCGTCTTCACTGGAAATTGGTTATTAAACATGTTATGACTTAAACCAGTTCCTTGTTTGCGAAGTAAAATACTTGGAGTGTATGCGTTTTTGAAAATTTCTTGCCTCTTTAGGTAAACCGCTTTGAGCAGTTCAATATTAACTATGCAAATGAAAAGCTTCAGGAGTATTTCAACAAGCACATCTTTTCCTTGGAGCAACTGGAATACAGCAGGTAAGAGATGAAATTTGAAAGAATTTTGAAAATCTCAGTATTCACTTGAAATCTGAGTTCCCAGCTGCCTTAGCTTCCTTTGAAAATCTGTCTGGAGATGTGTACTTTTTAAAAGCAATCTTATTTTGCAGTAATTGGCAGGATAAATACATCAGCTCCTCCTATTTCTATAGTTAAAATAATTTTGTCGTAGTTGTCAGTAAAAAGTCACTCGTTATTTTCCTTAGGGAAGGACTAATATGGGAGGATATTGACTGGACAGACAACGGGGAGTGCTTGGATCTTATTGAAAAGGTAATAATTTGATACCAGTACCTATTTCTAGTTTTTTTCTGAGGTAATATGTCTTTAAAACACTTGCCAACACAAAGAACAAGTGAAGAGAATGATGGATCTTGCATGTTTAAACAGTGAACTTTTAATCAGATCATTTTCATGCATGGATCTATTATAGATTCTATTCAATCAATACAGGAATTCAATGTATGCATCTTTCCTTGTAACTTTTAACAGCATATGATTATATACAAGAGTAATATTTGGAGATGATTAAAAAGAATAGAAGGAGAGGGCAGAAAGAATGACAGTGTCTTGCTCCCATAATTGCGTTTCATGGGATGCAGGTGATCTTCATTTGTTGCCTGCCAATTTTGACTTCATCCGTATGTTTGTTTGTGTTCCGGTTTGTGCTAAAGGAACATGTAGAAGAGCATGAAGTTTCTGCAGAGTTACTGGTAGGAACATCAGCAGTGAGGGCCAGGTGAGGTCTGAGTTCACTGCACAGAAATGATAACTCCGGCTGCATGATAAAGCCAAAGTTATATATCATAGAATCATAGAATGATTAAGGTTGGAAGGGACCTCAAAGATCATCTAGTTCACTTCTGCGAGCAGTACAAGCCTGATGAGTTTATCTCCATAGTGTGGTGTGTGTCTGTGCGTGTTCAGATGACCACAGGAACTGCTGGCAGTGGTCAGGGAATCCAGCTGCCAGGACGTGACTGCAGTCAGGACGGTGTGGTTTGTCAGGAGCTGCTCTGGGCTGATGGGAAGTGGTTTATTAAAATGTGCACCTGGAGAACCGTGTGTTTCTGAGAGGCTGTGTCAACGTGAAGCTTGCTGGACACATTAATTAGCTGCAGGGTAGCTTGCTTTGTTTACCACCTCTTCTAGTATGAGAAGTAGGGAACATCAAAGGAAATTACAGAGAGGCGTATGCAAAGCAATGGGAGGTTGTGTTTCCCGCAGTGCGTAGTTAAACTGTTCATCTTTAGCTGTGCCCCTGGGCCCTGTGGGTGCTAAAAGTTTGCGTTGGTTCAACGACTAAGTCAGTCATTTTATGGAACAAAAATTTTTGAAAGACTCTTTACACAAACTCCTCAGGTTTAAGGGACTTCTGATTGTTGGGGATCTTGGAGGCTGCAGATACATTCTGGGGCGATGTCATTGTATGCACCTAAAAACTGCCTACATCAGGAGAACTGTTGCTTCCTCCAGTAGCTGCTTTTTCTTTATTTTTCACAGGTATCATATGCTGTATGTTTCAAAGGTGTGTTGCAAGAAAAATAGGATTGTAGTCCTCTATGAGAGTGGGGTTTTAGTCATGTACAGGTGGTTTTGCACCTCTCTGCACACAACTTCAAGGACTTTGTGATTTTTCCAAACTGGGGACAACAGCTGTGTCCAGCTGTGCACTAATTCATGTTCTGCCTCGTTACTGTTCTAGAAATTGGGACTGCTGGCGCTCATCAATGAAGAGAGCCATTTTCCTCAAGCTACTGACTCCACCTTGCTGGAGAAGTTGAATACCCAGCATGCTGTATGTAATGTTTTGCTCATGTTTTCTGTGCAAAATGTGGAGGGTCTCTTTGCTTCTGTAGAAATTCATGATTCAGATGTGTAGGTGCATAGTTGCAGAGGCTGTTTTGGACATGATCCTACTTACATGGCAATCCATATCATTTGCTGTCAGGACTGGATCAGTTACCTGGAAGAACATATCCTTGTTATTGTCCACTTAAAGGTTTCCATATTGGTGAATAAGCCAAATTCTGCTCTTAGTTAGAGCTCTGACACCCTGCAGTAACTCAGCTTATTTAGATCTTCAGTTTCCCTTGGTGTAATGAAATACTCACCATGATGTCATTTACTGAAAGGCTGCTGTTTCCTCTGTCCAGATTAGTGTTACCTTTGTGGTCCTAGAATTATACTTGAGAATTTCTGGGATACAAGCATATCCACCAGTCTCCATAGCTGCCAGTTTAAGACAGAGCCTTCTTTTTCAAAGTGCCTTTAATAGACGATTCTGCCAGATGGGTTCAGGTTTAGTATAAGATTTCAAATAGATGATTCTGCCAGATGGGTTCAGGTTTAGTATAATGCCTTTTTGGATACGATAAATCTGTTATTACTGCATTCGAAGCAGCCCAGACTGACAAATCCTATTATCATTATAAGTTGGCTGTTTGCTTTCGGAGCACTAATCTTCCAGGGAGTTCACTGGAAGACAATGGTTTGTTTAGGTCTGGGTTGGGAGGATAATGTGACTCTTTGTATCGTTCCACTCCCTGACCCGCCCCTAAATATTTTTCTCTTTTCTTTCCCCTCCAATTAGAACAATCCTTTTTATGTAAAACCAAGAGTTGCCATTCACAACTTTGGAGTGAAGCACTACGCTGGGGAGGTAATTTTCTTTTCTTTATTTGCTGAAATTATTCCAACAGAGTTTTCATTAGCTTAATTTTACCCTGAGGCTGCTCAAAATTAACTAAAGCACTCTGTTCCCTCAGTGCTTTTTACAGTACTGCTCTTGTGAAAGGTGCCTGACTACTTGGCTTGTTGTTTTAATCAGCTCTGTTTCCTGCTAGGTCCAGTATGATGTCAGGGGGATCTTGGAGAAGAACAGAGATACTTTCAGAGACGATCTCCTGAACTTGTTACGTGAAAGCAGGTATGTTTCTGTGATTTTTGTTTAGGACATAGTGTTAAGGGGTGTCGTATCGCCTGATTCCGCCAGGGTTTGAATATGTTATATGTCATGTAGCATCAGACCTTGACAGAGTTGAAAGGAGCATAGAAGAAATATCAGAGGTGCTTGTAAGGAGATCTGACTGTGATCGGTTCTCACAAAGTAAGTCAGGTTTTCCCACGTTGTACAGTACCTCGTCCCTGTTCAGTCCAGGAGGTTGCTAGAGAGCTCGCTTGCAGCTCAGTGGTGAGTAAGGACGCTGAAAGCTGGTGACGGTTTTTAACTGTTTCAAGGGTGCCTCGTAGGCAGTGTGGCTTTTCGCTTCACATACAGCCTGATTTGCTTCTATTTTGGGCATTCCCTAATTTGTTTGAAAGCTTAGTGTCAGGGACTAAGGGATTCCTAATTGCTTCAAAGGGAGAATTTCTGTAAAGATTTATGTTACTGAAGGTCTGAGCTTGGGTGTCTTTGGTACCTGCATGCCTCCTGACATCCTGCTGTGTAAGCTCTCAGGAACCTAACGGTGGTACCCGGCAAGCCGGAGTGATACCGCGTCCCTTTTTGTAGGCGTGTGGTTGAGACTCCAGGACACACAGAGGGATGACAGGAAAGGAGGAAGCTGAGCCTAGGTGTTGCTGTCTCACCTGCTGCCCTCACCCATCCCGTCCAGTCATCCTGCCTTGCCGTGCGAGTTGCTTGTTTGTAAATCCCTTAAGCCCCTCTGTGCAGGGGGAACTGTTAATAAGCGTTTCCCTCTCTGTGGTGTTTGTTCTTGTTTCACGACATATCTGACTGAACATCTGTCAATCGAAGTGTGTGGGTAGAAGTAATAAAGGAATTAAAGCTGCTGGGCCTGGTTTTGCTCTTGCACCAACATCTGTTTGGAGCTCAAGTTAGAAGGTCTGTGTTTCTGTAGAAGTGGTAAGAGGATACCCGACTGATAAGGTAGAAAGTGGCATTCACAGCTGGTACCTAAATGTGAGGCTCGTGTGGGTGCTTATTGTGTGTTATGGCCCCAGAAAAGCTCAAAGTCTTGTTTTTCAGTCTGTGCACAGTTACCATTACAGTCAGCTGGAGTTCTGGTTGAGTGAGTGGGGTAAAATGCAGTGAGGACTCTAGGACTTCACACTTCGTTTCCTTAGTGGTATGTTGCAAGCTGAGAAGAAGGAACCTCCTTGTTTTGTTTTGCTTTGCTTTGTGGGTTTTTTTTCCTCCTCTGTATAAATTCTACAAAGGCAAAATATGTTGCTTTTTAAAGATTATGGAGAAAGTCAATAAGCATTTTTTGGATGGAGGAGCTGCTTTGTAACGGACAGTGCTTTCTTTGCTTTCTATAGTGGTAAACCTCTGAATCTGTTAAGATATACTTTAGAGATATTTTTTTTCTTTCCCATTTCAGTCTTGATTTCATCTATGACCTGTTTGAGCATGTTTCAAGTCGCAACAATCAAGACACTCTTAAATGTGGAAGCAAGCACCGAAAACCCACTGTCAGTCTCCAGTTCAAGGTTAGTTGATGAGTTTGCTCTGCTCTGTAGCTGATCAATGATAGAAACCCTGTTCAGTAGAGGACAGTTGCAGATGAAACAGGCAAAACTTCATCATCAAAGCATTGCTGTCTCTTCTGTGAAACTGCATTTACTAATCAACTGATTTGCCATACTAGCTAGCTTCAAGCAGACACTAACCTTTGCTTTTACACCATCTGCACAAAACTCCTGTTGCTTTCCACTTGCTTATTTGTTCTTATTTTAAAGCTCATCTATGAAGTTGGTCTCTCTCATCCTGGTTTTTCTTTCTAATCTAAAACCGACCACAAAATCACACAAAGCCTTACGGCAATGCCTGTATGCTAAGAAAAATAAGTACTGAGTAAATACCTCATTAAGGTGTTGCCTTGCTTTTTAACTTAAAGTTTGGAAAGCATTTTTATTAAACACCTTTTTATGAGATTTTATAGCCCTCCCATCAGAAGTGGCACCAAACTGAAATCTAGCATAAAGTCTATCTGCAAATTATTTAAAAGAGAAAGATTGGCACAAAACCTTTTCTAAATTGCGTGAGTACAAGTCTGGATTAGTTGTCTTTCATTTTGTTTGAATTAATATATATTTGCACTGTTCATTCTTTTTTTTTTTTCTTAAAAAGAGCAGACTCAAACCCCTTGAGGGCAGATTTTATCCTAATAGACTATTGCTAAGTGTTGGACAGAACAGCAAGGAGTGTATGCTGGGTCACACACAGTGTCTTTTATTAAAAAACAAATTTTATATTCCCTGCACACCTTGCTTTGTGCTACCATCGCTTGTCTCAGACAACACCCGCTTCTTCTGGTGGGGTGATATTATTTGCTAGCTCTGTGGGATAGCAGAAGGTATCGTTTCCACTTAGTTGTTTGTACCTGTGCAAAGTAGACCTTTAAGATGTTACTGTGTAAAAATTGACCATATTTTTGCGCCCACTTTGCAAGGTAGAACATAATGTAGAGTTCCTTCTCTTCTCCATTAAAGCCCCTGGACAACATAAAGCATGATAAAACATGAAACCAGAACATTGTTGCCTCTTATCTAAAGCTGCAGTAACTGACCATTAACCAGCTGGGCTGCTTTACCAGAGGTTGACCTTCACATCATGCCATCCCCAAAGAATTAGGTTGGGCGTTTTTCCATGTCCTAAAGCCTTCCAGGCTTGGTCCATCTCATTTCAACTGAAGATAAGAACTTTGCCTTCAAAATTTTCTTCTCATGATAGATTGGTTAACTCTTCTTTTCGTTTGACAGCCTGCCTGACGCGGGCCCAGGGGTGCATGCAGAATAGCTGAGGTTAGATACCATCTGTTTCAGCCTATTGCTTAAAGCAGGGCGAACTCGTCACCTGACAGTGACTTGGAGGCGTGCAGCACTGTGCAGAATCTGGCTGGCTGCACCGCAGATGAATGTGAAAGTAGGTTAAATCGTGTTTGTTTAGACTGACCAACTTTTCCAGTCTCTGTAAGGAGTAGCCTGTGTTGAGAGAATTGGCTTAGTTGTCCATAGATGTTGTAGTGTTCACATAGGTTTAATACAGATGTAGCTTTTACTTTTTGAAGCTGTAAGTATTTGCCTTTACACAAAAATACTTGGCTTTATATCTTCTGGCTGTTTAATGTTTGCTGCCCCCCAGGTCCTGGTCCGTAGGCTGACAAAGGCAAACAAACCAAGAACTACCGTTTACGTTCCCAGTCACTTCACCATTTGCTCCCTTTGCTCTGTACCAGCTCCTGTGTACAGCCATAACTCTGCCTGTTGCCTTTATCACTTCATGCTTAATCATGAAGAAAGCCCTTGATATGCAGGTTAAAGCAAGAATTTGTTGTAACAGACTGCCATTGGCACTTTTGCTCCAAAACATAGGGTAGATCGCACAGTGTTGCCCCTTCAAAAAATGAATTTTCTGTCTCCTTGGCAGCCTGCTCTGTATTCTGTCCGCTGCCTGGCATGCGGAGCCACCTTTGAGGGGTGAGACATTACCACTGCTGACTTTCTGGGCTCTTCAGAGCCTGGTCTCCCCTCCTATATGGTCGTTTGTATCTCTGCAAAGTAAATGCAAGACTTCAGTTTAAGATGGTTTATCATACTTAGTGATACAGAACGAGGCAAGTTGGAATAAGATACAGAATGATGGCTCAGGCAGGAAAGGGGCGGATGTGTAATTAAAGTAATAATCATAAAAGGACTGAGGGATTTTTATGATTTTTATCTCTAGGCTGAGGTTCAGACAACTGATAGTCTAATGTGTATTGGGTCATTCAGAGTTCTAAGACTAGGAAAAAAAAAAATCTGTGTTTTCTTCTATGTTTTTTTTAGCTGAACCTTACAATCTCGCTTTTTACTGTTAAATGCAATTAGCTATCACATGAAGTAACTGTGAAACTGTCTGCTTAATGCTGTTAGCATTGTCTTTCAGTAAGAGGTATTTTCTTTACCACTCTATCCTTTACTCAATTTTTGTTAATTTCAGGAGGGGGGAGTGTTTTAAAATCTAGTATTGATAAAACAATGTCTACTGTATTCTAAAGTAACTCTTTTTTGATAAATTGTTAATATTTGCTTTCTACCCTCTTGTTGATTTACATTTATTATCAGAGTGTCCTTTTAGCAAGAAGGATTTGGACCACACAGGAGAGAGGAAGTCTCTATGCACAAAATGCTGCTGATGGCAGGGAAAATGGAAAATGAGTGGGTATGGGGTGGTTGAAATGAAAAGAGGAAATCTGGTTTTGTGGGTATTTCAGTTTTACCTTAGACCCCTTATCCTTCCTTTTGACTTGCTCAAGTAGCGATTTGGGGGCATGTATCCTAAGTCTTAAGCAGTCTTTCAGAAGATCCCTGAAACAGCAGCTTTCCAAATTGATGTTTTCTTTGTATCAATCTGTATATCTTGTTTGCTGATAGTTTTGATCAGAAGGGCCACTGGAAGGAAGGAATTTGCATATATTGATTCTGTATGTTCACAAGCAAGAGCTTACTCAGTACAGTCATTTCTGGTGTGTACCACTAGGTGTTGCAGTTAGATACTGTCTGCAGTGCGAAGCTGCAGGAGCTTTTGCTGGGGCATGTTGCTTGTACAAGAAGTCGACTTACGAAGTGCTGTCTTCTTTCTACCTGTCTTTTAGGAATCGCTTCACTCTTTAATGGCGACGCTGAGTTCTTCAAATCCTTTCTTTGTTCGGTGCATCAAACCCAACGTGCAGAAGGTAAGATTTAAAATCGTGCCTCTCTTTTCTATATGTCTCAGGCCTAATCTTTCACTGCCTGTCTGATTATTTACCGCTGTGTGTAGCGTTCTTCACTGACTTTGTAAAAGGCTCTGCAAGGTCAAAGGCTTTTGTTCTTTTTTTTGCATATGGGCCGTGTCTTTGGACACCTTTTTAATAGTCATTGCTGACAACTCGGATAAATAACTAGCTCTAAGGATGGTTATAAAAGGAAGGTAGAAGGCTGGACTGCATGTTCGATGACTCTGTAAGAGCCTTTTTAGGAAGAAAATGTCAAAACTGCGAAGTTTGTTTTAAATCACTAGAGGCAGTGAATGGTGGTGCATATAGAAAAACTGGTGTGAATGACTGACTCTGTCATCAGACTTGTAGTCTCTCAGTTTATGTACGATTCTAAGTGCCTTCATGCTGACTGCTTTGTTCTGTTACAGAATTATATTTTTTAAACAGACTTGGAAACTAAGGCTTACTGTATCAATTTGTCTTTTGAGTCACAATAATGAAAGGCAGTGTCAAGACTTAAATAAGTATGTTGGAGGGCTCTCTAGAAACGGAGCGGTAATGGTATAGTGATCACTGAAGTTAATATTGTTAATCTGGTTCTGATATTCTGGGTTTTTGCACATCTGTTTTTGGTTTTATAGACTGATATTCAGGTATGCTCTGCTTGTGTCAAAAATGCAACAGGCAGAGGGGCTAATGAATCTGGTTTACGGTTTTCACGTAGCAACTTAGAAATAGGTGACTTTGCTATAAATCCCGTTTTACATGTTACGTTTTTCTGGGATGTTTGGTTAATCAGAACACTAACGCATCAAACCTGGCAGATTTCCTTGCAGGTTTTTGTGTTATCTGGACGGTATATCCTTGACTTTACATGTTTTGAATTGCTAACTGTTAACTGTGCTTTTGCACTGTTACTTGTGACATGTCAAATAACATGCAGATTGTGGGTACCTTAGCAAGAGGGAGCAGCCTGGACGTGAATAAGACCTGCTTTCTGCATCCTGACGTGTTTGGTGCTCTGAGGTGTGCAGCCACCAGGTAGCCAAATCCACATGGATGGCAGCGCCTTGGCCAGCAGCTGGGGTCAGTGAGTCAAGGTGTGTAGCAAAGCCCCTGATCACTGAGGGAAGGCAATTTTGAAAAGGTTGTTTTCTTCCCTGCTCCCATTTCTTCCTGGAAGCCCTATGACCTTTACAAAGCCCACGTGCTGCCACTGGAGTATAAGAAGAATTTCAGTAACTCACATGTTTTCCTTATTTGTCCTTTTACATCCAAGTAAGGTTCATCTCCGCAATACCAAAATCACAAGGATTTGCCATGGTTGATGCAAGAACCAGGTGCTCATTGCATTTCCATAGCAAGGAAGCCACTGAGTTCCCACTCCCATGTTCCTTGTTGCTCTACCAGTTTTTTCCATTAGAATGCTCCATCCCTGACAAATTTGGCATATGCTACTGTATCTGCACATATATTTTACTATCATTAAAACCAAGTTCTCTCAGAATTAGCAGCTGTGCAAGCAGAAGGAGCTTGAGACAGCCTCAGTCTCAGGAAACCACATCTAATTGCAGGAGTGCATGTGGGAACAGACTGAGAAATTCCTGTAGACAATCCCCTTCAAAGTATGTATAAAATGCCACTGAAATCTTACACAAAAAATGTTTGTCCTTGTTTCCCATTTGCTTTAATTTGATTGCAAATTTAACGTGATTTAATGGCTTTACCAAATAAGAAATCCTATTTGAAGAACAAGAGTAGAGAAAAGGGTCACACAGTTTACCTCTTGTAGCTGATTCAGTAGACAACTTGGTGGAAAAAGAGAAGGAAAGCCATATGTAATACTTGCTGATGGCATTCCTCACTCAGGGAAGTGTTCTAAACCCACATTTTTGGTATTCACAGTTTTAACTTTTGTCCGCTGTGCACTGCTCTCTGTTCCCCTCCACGTCTCACAGACACAGCGATTTTTAGTGCCAGTCTTGTGCCATTGGTGTTGCTCCTTCTGCAGTGGTGCAGGTAGAGCAGCAGGCACATGAATGCTGTTTGGCCCCTCTGTAGCTCAGCTGGATTCTGGGGGTGCACATCACGTGAAACATTTCATGGCTTATCCTGTCATATAACTTGTTGCTTCTTTTCAGTTAGATGAAGGAAAATAAGGCGAGTCAGAAGCATGGCTCAGAGACACGCTAGGTGTGCGTGGACTTCCCGGGATTACTGCATACGTGACTTACTGTGCAGAGTTGGTTAGAAACATAACTGCTTGAAACATTCAGATGAACCATTGAAACAGAGAAACTGAGATTGAAAGAAAGTAAAAATCGTCACTGTTTTCTTTTGTGTTTTCTGTCCATAGTTTTTACTCTGTGGTGATGGTGATACACAATGATAAAACATCACTCTTCAAAAAGTACTTAAATGATGCTTGCCAAATAACAAATGATGTGAAAGAAAGGAGTGTTTGAATTGCTTTTTTGAAATATGCAGCGTTAAAGGAGAGCTGAACTAGAGAGACTCGGCAAGGAGACAGCTGAAGTTGTGTTATCAGGAGCAAAGCCTCTCAAGCTACTTGTTGCTCACTGAATTGGGTACGATTAGGTGACACACTTAGTGGTGAGCATCCTCTGTACCTCTGGAGGGGAGGAGGTCGTGGTGCTCAAGAGCTGTTTTACTCTGGAAGTATGTTTGAATTCAGTAGGTGAATGAGGTTGAGCAGATGGAATACAAATTCAAGCCTTCGAAAAGCAGAACTTGCCGCAGACAGTACTCACTCTGCTTTTCTAGATACTAAAGTGTATTCATCTTGGATAAGAGACGTGATAATTTATAGTAATTATTTGATTTTTTTTTTAACTGATCAAAAGTTTTATTCCTAAGTATGTTACATTGGCAAGCAAAACCAATTCAGCAATGCAATAAACCACTCAGCATTTACATATCAAAGCAGAACCTACACTCATTAGTGCAGTTTCCTAAAGGGAGCGCACAGAGTACGTGACCTTTTGTCACAAGACATTTCAGCGGGCGGCCTCAGACAGAAGAACAGAGGACCCATTAATCTTTGGGAGACCCCCGAACAATCAATGTATCTGTTTTCACAGTTCCCAGTTCTGAACTAGGCATAACGTGGAAACTTTTCCACTTGGTATGCTTAATGAGTATTTTCTGCTAATGAAGGGTCTTTCTCCTCAACTCCCCTTATCTCCAGTGCAGCTTGCAGAACTACATATCATTCTTTCCTTTTGAACTTTGACACATCTTTCTCTGTTTCTTGCTCTTGTGTTTCTTTTCCGGCCTGTTCTATTTGATAATGATTCCTCTTTGCAGCCTTACCTTTTCTGGTTTTCATCTATCCTTTTTTGTGTGCACCTTAAATCAAAAAAAAAAAAAAAAAATCAACCACCCCCACCAAAAAACCCTAATTAAAAAAAAAAAAAAGACAAAAAAAAACCCTGTCATTTTAAAGCAGGCTACAGCCATCAGCTGAATGTTTCTTCCAGCTTGCTGCTATTAATAAAGTTGCTAAGCCTTGGTGCTACTCAGGAGACAGCTCAGGGTAAATTTAAGATCTGAACTTCCTATGTAAGAGGTAGAAGTTTTCCTGTTGGCCAGAAGCCAGCCTCAGGCAGATTGGCTCAAGTGCCTTCTCAAGTTCCCTTCTCCATTTAAGATTTTTTTCTTCAGAAAATATATCAGTATAATCATAGCGAGTGGCATAATATTGGCATAATCATTGTGAGAGGCCCCCACCTGCAGCATCTGCATGGCCTCATCTGTGCTGGTCTCTTAAAACCTCCGTTATTACAGCTTGCTTCTGTAATTCCCTGTTCTTCGGACTTCAACAGGTTCAGACACGGCTGTTCTCTCATGCTCATAGATAGGTGCATCCACTTCTCTTTGGCTACGAATCTAAGTCCAGTTTGGTCCTGATAGGCAAAATCCTGGATTCATTTGAGTTGATATGAAATACTTGACGTAGACAATAATTTCACTTGTTTGTTGGGTTTTTTTTTAAGAAGCCTGTGTTGATGTGTGCCACCTGAACAGGACTGCAGGATCTCTACTCACCTCCCTGTCTGCTCATTTATTGTCTGTCTCGTTCCTCTGTTGCAGTGATGGTCTTGCCACTGGCAAGATAGAAGCTGCCTTCTCTGAAGCTTGTGAGCTCTGAAGGGGCAATTCTATTTCAATATTAACTTTTTTGAATCTTAAAATATAATTAGGTAAGGTAAAGAAATGAGACAAAGTTATACCTGTATTGTAAGCCCTGCTACAGGGTAGAGGTTACAGAGAGCAACAGAAAAAGTGAAACTAGTAATAATTTTGCAATTCAAAGGGATACTGGTAGAAAAAGGTCTGTAATAAATTCTGGGAGGCTTACTGCTGCTTAGGAGTGCTATCGTGCTCCATATTCCTTCTGGGATACTTATTGTCAAGGCAGTAAGATTGCTAACATCTCTTCTGGGGATAGAGCCATTTAAAGGGATCAAGGTATGGCTATTGGCACCTGTGATGTACTTTGAGGCATAGGTCGCTAATAGCCATGAGACACCCTGGAATAGCAAGCAGTACGTCCCCTAATGCGAAATAAGATGCAAACCTATTTTGCTTGGCGTCTGAATTAAACTCGTGCTCTTAAGTAGCTCTGAATCATTACAAACATTAAGTATAGCATGATACTAACCTAAACACCAGTTGGAAGTGCAGCTCAGGAACACAGTACAAAGGAACGATGAGAGTGTAGCGTGGCCCTATCTGCGAGGATGACTGTGTGCAGGGTGTGGAGCAGGTACAAGCTCCGTGAAGGCAGTGTGTGAGCTGGTTGTCACTCTGGAATTGCGATATTGTCGTATTGAGACTTGACCGTATGAATTACTGAGTTTGCCTTGGAGAGAGATTTTTTTGCAGAAATATGGTAAAGACAGTGCAAGTCTAATGCTGCTGCATTGAGAACAGCACTGACATAAAACCTTGAA